AGATGCTATAAAGTACTCAAAACTTAACCATGGTTCCCCCTGGCAAAGAAGTGTGAACGGCTATTGGCGAAATTTTTGAGAAAGACGTATTAATTTGCCCATGAGCTAAGGCCTGTTGATAATGCTAGTGGATGCATCTTGTTATAATTTTGATTTTCTAGGCATTTGTTGAGTCAGAAAAGGGCTTGATAGGAATAAAATAAACAGTGACGGGGACCTGACTGTCTAAATCATTGAATGGAAGAGGAAACAAAAGTTACCTAAATTGTGGGGGGAGGGGGGGCGGGGCAGATAGAACTGGCTGAAAATGCCCAGTCCTATACAATATTTTTGTAAACTGTCTTCTGTTACTCCAGGTTTGGAAAGCAGATTTGGGATGTAGCTACACTACATATTTGTATACAGTTGACAAACCCCCATCGTATGAGTCATTATTATGTGCTAGACCCTTATTGTCAATATAATACACGCGTAATTTTTACATGACAGTGACGTTCTTGGAAGGAGTAGGTGATATTTGGAGTATTTTTTCTGTTTACTGTTTTTATACCTTGGGTTATTTTTTTCTTTTGTTTTCCAGGACTAGTATATGAGCAGGAGGTTGGTGTAGATGACACTTCAATGTCTCTTCCAAACTGATTTCTCTGATTTAGTTTGGCCATACCAAAGGCTTTATGTTAGTTATTACTATTAGCACAATAGCCAACTGTAATTTACTTACATCAGTGATGTAATGGTATCCTCAGATGTTAGAAACTGCGAGCATCTTTCTCAACCTCATGCTGAACTGTGATTCTCAGTTGCTTTTGAATACTTCTGTTTCGGTAAACACATAACAAAAGGATATGACTCAAATTTCCAGTACAGAAATTGAATTAAATTACCTCTGCCTCAAAGAAATAACTCCAAATTTAAGTGAAATTACGTGTCTCGGTAGCCAAAATAATTTAATTTTAAATGTCTGTATGAATAAGGCAATAACGTACTTTCAGATGAGTCTAGGCTGAAATTCTTGTCTTGAGACATACAGACTTAATTCTTCATGTGTAGTTCCTCTGATTCCAATGAATTATTCCTTCTGCTAGAAGGTTGCAATTCAACATGAAAGGGTAGAGCATTATGGTTCAAAGAATTTTTCTGACAAAACTTTCACAATGGTATTAAGCTAAGATGATGTGCTTTATATAGGGGATTGGTTTATTTTTCTTGTTGTTCCTTCTCTTTCGTTCTTAAATGTATTTTAAAACCGGTGTAGCTATTGCAGTGAACATTCCTTTCTCCATAGCACGTATGTAATGTTGGAGATACTAACTAAAATCTCCAGACCAAGATTGCAATTAAAATTGCAGCAATTGCACCTTACTCTCCCTGATGGCTAGTTTTCAACGCTGTGCTGCTGACACAAGAGTTCGAGAAATTGCAGTATGACTTGACCTGATAAAATGATTCGCTGCTGCCAAAAGGGGAAGTATCTCTTGACCTGGTTTTATGACCTCTCTTTCTCTCTAGAGTCCTTAGGACTGTGCTCAGCCGACTTGACTTGCTAAACTGACAGAAATCAAATCTAGCAAAATTATACAGGTCTCTTCAGGGTTAGCAAGGTACACCAGCTTTGTGGCAGGCCTGGTGAGTGCTTGAATAAGATGGAGGGCAGAACTTTTCTTAGTGAGGAGAGAGAGGAGGAAAGAAAAAAAACAGACCTCTTTCTCTTGGCAGTAGATTTATCTTTTAAATGGAGCTTTTATTTTGGGGAAATGGAAGAGTCATTTTGAGCTTGGATCAGTTACATGATCAAATCACAGTACTCATACTTGAGGGGAATATGCTGTTAAAAGAGGGTAATTTAGTGTATTAGTGTGGCTGCCAGTATGGTCCAGCTGTGACTTACAGTTCTTCAGAAGCAATTGATTTTGAGGATCCATATTCTAACTCCACATCTCGTTATTTCTGTAGCCAAAGTTTACTACAGCATTCAGCTATTCATTCAATTTAAATTGGTTTTGTGAAACAGTCTGGGTGGTTTTGATGGGTTTGGGGGCTGGTTTTTCATTAAATTTTGTAGATCCATGTATTAAGGTAGTGATCACCTGTGCTGGAAATGAGCAGCTGATAACGAAACTGCAAGAATGGTCCTCTTTAAACTGCAACATGTTAAAGAGTGGTAATGTAGAACTAGAGCTTAAAACAAACATTTTTTATAAAAGATTCCTGAAAACTTGTTCTCTAATAAGGAATTACAAAGTCTGATCACTTTCTGTGTCTAAATTAAGTAATAATTTCAATTAGAGCAGCTTAGACTGAATTATTTATACTTAGTATGTGCATTGCTTCTAAATATCTAAAGACCTTAAACTTTCTGCTTTTTAGAACAAATATGCATGAACGAGTGAACAGAACAGAGAGGCAGTTTAAATCTCTCCCAGCTAACCAACAGAGTCTTCTTCCTCAATTCCTTCCTCACCTTGACAAGATTCGGAAGTGCATTGATCATAATCAAGAGATACTACAGACCATTGTGAATGACTGCGCTCATATGTTTGAAAATAAAGAATATGGAGAAGACGTATGTTTAAATGGACTTTTTCATACTGCAAAATTAAACTTTGTATGCTTTGGGATTTTCCACATTTGTTTTTCACACCTTTAGGCCTCCAACTTTCTTTCCTTTTTCCCGCCTTTATCTTCTCCTTTCTTACTTACTGTTTGCTTACATTTTGTCACTCTTATCTTTCACATCTTGTAGAGCTGTTGTTTAATAAAACTATTTGTTATTAGTCCTTGTGGTTACTCTTAAGAAAACAAATTGTAAATCTGCCAAATGACAGTAACCACTGATTGTGAAAAGGCAGTTTTTCACTACAGAGTTCTAGCTCTACCCTGATTACATTTTAAAGTTATCTTTGCAGTTAACAATGTAGAGCGTGAATGGTATTATCTGTCTTACTGTAGCTTATTGTATGTTCTGGCATTCTAAATCAGTTACGTTTTCAGATAGGCCGAGTATTTTCAATGTTACCAGCTGTAAAAACATTTCACTACTTACCTGCTTTATTAGTGTGGTGTCTCTATGAAAAAAAATTGCACTCAGACTGGCAGAGCTGGAAACTGAAGTCCTTTTTTGGTATCTGCAGGCAAGATACAGTAATGGGCAGCTCTAACGTGAGCTTCTCAGCATTGCCTCGTCAGTGCCTCTTCTCAGGGTACGCAGTTCACCCTCTGCACTGGCTAAGCCCATGTCCTTTCCGGAATAAGGACTACCAGTTGTGCTCTGATGTGCCATACTATGTGTTGGTTTTTTGGTGTGGAACCTGGTCTCTTGGGTGCTGAACTGAGACCAGCAAACTCAGTTTGTTTAGGATTCAAGTTTGGATATGCGCACTGGTTGCAGGAGTGAAAGGCGAGTGCTTTGTCAGCTAAAACTCCCAACAGCCCTTATAGCATGGCTTTTGTCTGTTTATAATTTACATTATTTTTTTTCCCTCCAAGACTAAAGATACTTGGTACATTTCCCACTAACTTTTTGTTTTTTTCCCTTCTACTTTAATCAGGGAAGAGGGAAGATTACACCAGCTTCCACATTTGACATGGATAAATTAAAATCCACTTTGAAACAATTTGTGAGAGACTGGAGTGAAGAGGGAAAGCCTGAGAGAGATTCCTGCTACCAGCCAATCATTAGTGAAATTGTAAAGAACTTTCCAAAAGAAAGATGGTAATAGTGTTTTAAGACTTATTTTTATGTGGGCATGCACTGTTGCATGAATCTAACAAAAGTTTTTGTGGAGTAATGAAAAGCTTGGCTTTAAAAATACAGAAATTACTGTGAATGCAGCAGAATTTATTTTTTAATCAAGAAAGTTTTTGTTTCTAATATAAGGTGTTGGAAAAGAGCATAATCATAAACTTCACAAAGGAATACCAGGTAAACCAGGAATAACTTTTTTTTTTCCTGCAGCTTGATGTAATGGGTTATCTGTTAACTTTTCAAGTAAGAGGCGTAGGAGGTTGTGAAGTTAACTCAGTTGTGCTCAGTGAGGTGAAGTTTTCAGATCAGCAGATTCTCGGAGTGTGTGTGCTGCAGATAAAAAGAAGGACACCTGTGGCAGCAGCAAGTATGACTTTCCCTTCATGGTGGAAGGAGAAAGGAGGCAAGAAGACTTGTAACCTCTAGTGCAGTTTTATTGCACTAAGAATTTACCCTGCAAATACTGAATTCTGGCCTTGGTTTCAGACAGGTGTTACAAGGCGTGTTGAAAAAGATGTTAAAAAAGCTTTGCTGCACGTGTGAGGGCAGTCTTTATAACTGCATTGGCTTGTTAACACCACCGAAATAATAGCTGGTGTGGGGATTTTTAGGTAACTTTAAGTAGAAATAGACTGGTAGAATCTCAGAAGATACTACTGCTGTAAGAATTCCATGTGTAATGGTTCTGCTATTTAGTCAGCCCAGTCATCATAAAGTACATTTCACTTTAAACTTAACACTTATAATGGGAGAATTTGTGAACTTTGTACTCCTAAATATAACAGGTCAGAACTGAAGTTTGGTATAGCCGGGTGTTACTGTGGGTTTTCTTCTTTCTTGGCAATTGCTAATTGTGCACTTGTACCAATTTGAAAATACCTTTCATCTTTTAATTTTCATTAATAAAGACTATTAGTGGTGGCAGAACATGGAGTGGATATGGTTGGTTTCTCTTTTGCCTTGGGCTAACTGATCTCAAGGTGGCTGTACCACTAAAGATATTTTATCTGAAGGTGAACTTTCTGCAATATGTTTTTAGTGCTAATAGTCCCCTACATAAGATAAAAATGAATTAAATACTACAGGTTACCTGATGTAGCTCTGATATGCAGATATGTTGGAGAAGTCATAACTAGTTTTGAAAGTAATAATTTTAATCTTCTAGATAGCTGTTCACCTTTTTCTCTGTATGCTAGCTTTTAAAGCCTTTTGATTATGGGAGAGGTAACCTACATCAACTCTTAGAGGTACGTGACTGAAGGTGAAAAGTTTTGACTTTTATATTTATCATCAATGAACTTCGTTTCAAAGCCTTCAGTTGGTGTTAGGAAGCAACATGTGGTAACATTGGGTGAATCTGAAGATGCTAGTTTTCTGCTTCTTCACTAGGAATTCTGGTGGCTATTGTTGTTGTCAAACACAACTAATGTGACAGTGCTTCTGTCCCTGTTTTGATGGTTCTGAAATACCAGTTAGGTTTTTTTTGTCTCTACAGAATCTCAAAATATCACTGCATACATCTCTACTGCAAGTTTGAGTTTGTCCAATGACTTTTTTTTTTTTTAATTTACAAAATATTTATTTCATACATACCTATTTAAAAGTGTAATATTAATGATCATTATGGAGCTGTCATGGCACTTACATAAAACTTGTTCTCTGCTCACGTATTGTTGACAGCGCACTCTTTTTCCTCGTGACCAGAGGCTTTCCTCCTCAGGTGTATTTCCCTCCTTGAGGCAAGAAGCAGTTGTTCAGAAGGGCCTGTTCTCTTTGTGTATTGTCAGGCTTAACTGGTAATGCCACTTCAGCCTTGGCATGGCAGGCTGGCTGGTAGGTCAGTCCGGTTCCTTTTGGTTTTTTGCCAGTTTTGGAGGGGAGCAGTTTGTTTCAGTTTGAAGGAATGGACAGGGCCTGAACTGGCCATAATGAAGTTTTTCTGGCTGTTGCGTATAGCGGGTGCACAGTCAGCTTCCCCTGGAGAGGGTGCTAATGTGGGAAGACAGCCTGTAGATGGAACCCCAGAGTGCAGCTTTGCATTTCTTTAGAGTACCCTCTTGTAGCATAGAGTGCTGAAGTCTCCTGAGATGATGAAATGAAAGTGCTGGAGAAAAAGTGTATTGTTGGCACTAGGTGATGAAGACAGCTTTGTCTACGTGTATTTTGCATTGAAAAGGTGGAGAAATAAATATTTTAAATTTAAAACTGTCAGTACAAGTCACCTTTTACTTTTTGGCCTCAACAGAATTGTACATTCAGTTTCTAGTTAACACTATTTCTTATTCCGTGCATTAGAATCATGTGAAAAAGGAGTTTAAATTTTTTAAACTATTCAAGTATGTCTTGCTCCATGGACGCACATGTTGCGTTGTTGCTTTTTGCAAGATTGGCCTGTATTGTTTCAGCTGCTATGCAAAGAACAGGGCAAAGAAGTGATGTAGTGCTCTATATGCTTGCTTTTCTAGGATGCAGAAGAGATATAAGCAGTGATTGAAAGCAACTGTAAATCAGAACAGTCTTGTGAATAGGTGGTACTGTTCTCTTGTGTTTCAGTCCAGTCTTCTGAAAGACAATCATCTAAAAATTAAATAAAATGGCAAAAGCTGTTTCTGCCTCCCATTCCTCTTCAGAAAAAAATTCTTCTTTCTGCTTAGCACCTTAACACAGAGTCTGTTAGTTGGATCAACAAAACAGAAGACTTCACTTCTTACATGAAGTCCCATGAGATAAGGTCTTCCTGAAGAACTGATAGATTTCCTGCATTATTCATGTTGGAATTTAATTGTGTTCCAGCTCACAGGGTCTCTATAGTATTGTCTACCTTTTAATGAAGCCATTTGAATTTCTTGGATCTGAATGGATCATGATCTCTGCTTTCTGTAGGAGAAAACAGTAAAACATTGATACATTTTTATTTCTTGATGGAATGTGTTCATTAAAGCATTTTTATGGGCAAAAATTAAGTTGAAAATGTAAGTAAGCATACTGATTTTTTTTTTTCCTAATTCCCCATTTCTTTTGTTTTTATTTTCTTTCACTTCTACGGTTACCCTTCCTACTTACGTGAAAGAATGTAGAGATCTTCAGCTTCTTGTCCAAAAGGAACCAAATACATAGTTAACCTTTTAGTTAATTATCATTCCCTGGCCAAGAAGAGTAAACTTATGTATTTTCTGCAAAGTTTTCTTTTATTCATTAACTTGGCCTTTGGAACCACCTGTGACTTGAAATTTAAATATATGATGCTGTCCAGCAATTGATTGCATTTCCCAAGATACTGGCAGGACAGCCCAGAAGAAGTCACCAGTGCTCATTTTCCTTTCTATTTGAGAAACATAGGTTAGTAATCCTAAGGCTGAGCTTGGCTGTACTTCCTGCATGTGCTCTGTTGTATTTATAGTGTTCTAATAAAAGTTCTGCTTTATATAAAGTTACATAAAATTTGTATAAAATACATCTGTTCTTGCAGAGTTTTTAATCTCATCAAAATTTGTGCTTAGCCTAAACTTTTCTTTGAACATTGGATTTAAGAGCAAACTATATCTTCAGTGTTACTGCAGTCCACTGAAGGCTTTGCAGGTCTTTACATGGAAGTATATAAACCTCAGCTGCTAAGTTTGGAGGATTGCTCTTCAGATGATTGTGCTTTTTAGCTACCTTCATTATTTTGTTTGAAAATTAGTTTTAAAAAAAAATTTCTGAAAATACGGTACAGTAAAATAATGAAAAATACTATACTGAGAATCAGATCTCTATCTAAAGTAACGAACATTACATATGTAAGACATCAGGAAAGAAGGAGTCTCACTGCGTGATTTGATGCTGATGTTTCCGCTGATGATCTGTGTATGGACTGTATATTTCTTATCACCCATTATCACTAGCTAACACTTAATTGCAGTGTTTAATTCATGAAAATGAGGTTTGTGTTTGATCACACACACTAATTTTTCTTTCACTGAACTTCAGTTTACCCCTCCAGCACCATAATTTTTTTTGTTACAAGCACAATAGGCATAAAATAAAAAGCCTCTGTTTTTATAATGTATATTTTTTCCTTTAAAGAAAGGACACCAAGTTAAAATCTTCATTAATGGCATTAAAATTCTGAAAGCTGAAAATATATCACATTGCAAAATGCAGTACAATAATGACATGACAGATTTTAGTTGTTTCTTGTATTTCTGCACTTTTTAAGAGCCTGCTGCAGTTTCAGTAGTTGAGCCAAACAGCGTACAGTGCAGCCTGCTTCCCTGCTCTTTGTTCACCTCCTCTCCCCACACCTGTAAAGTTAATAGGCCAATGTTTCTTCCCTATTGCTCCACAGGTTGGATATCTGTTTATGTTCCTAACTAATGCTGGATTTATGCCATAGAAATCCTGCTACTGCTGGCTACTTCAAGGCTATTTTCACTAACCTTTGGTTATTATCAGTTATCACAGTTTGGGGTTTTTTTTTAATTGTCTTTGCTACTGCTGTAATTATATATCCACCAAACTGAAACAGGTTTTTGTAGCCTCCTAAATTTTCTTAAGACTGATTAGCCATTAAAAAAGCAGTTTCTGTGCAATTAAAATTTTTTAGCTGTTCCAGTGATTCAAAAATTAGCATAACATAGTGCATTGTAGTGTTCCCACTGGTTTTGTACCTTAATTTTTTTAAGATTAATCGAACGTTTGTTACTTACAATTCTTTTTTAGTCTTTGAAAGGAAAAGGGATTTGAGCTTTTTTTTTTATACCAAGACTCTGTCAACAGTCACTAGTTATACAGGAAGTTTGCTACATACCTAATTTCTCTGATTGTAGATTAAAAAAATGCTCTTGAACCATTTTGGAAGGCTAGTGTTAATGTTAGTGTCAGATTTGATTATATGTATTTTATTAGCTGTGCTCTGTGTGCTGAAACAAAGTTGGGGCCAGCACCAGTCCCTAGCAACTGACAGGAAGAACATAGATAGAAATTAAATGTCTTAACAAGTTTCCAGACAGACTTCAATCCCTTAATAAAGCTGCAAAGGAAAGTGCAGTTAAAATCGACTGTTTTCTAAGAATTTGGAAAACTAGTTCAGAGACACAAAAGCTTTATATTGTGAACAAAAAGATACAAGGCAATTACAGGCATTTTAAAATCAACTCACTTGCCTGTTAGAAGTTTTACCTTGTTTTGGGATGAATAAACGTGCAGATTTCAAAACGTGATTACATAGCCCCTTGTTAGTAGGTTGTTTTAAGAAAAGTGTCTTTTCTGATCAATGTATGATAATCTTGGAAGTGGCTTAAGGCTTTTCAACCCACTCATTGTGTAAGTATCCACATGGGGGTGCAAAAATCTGTGTAGAACTAGTCTAAATATTTCATAAATGAAGTCAAATTTTAAGGAAATTAAGAAATAGAATAGATTAGGAATACATTTGGAATAACAGTGACTAGATATACCACTATGAGTAGAAAAAGCTGTAAGATTGAGTTTTTTTCTAACTTCTCCCAGAAAGTGGGTTTTCTTTCTACTCCTGGGTACCTATTTTCAAAAATTTCATCTTGAGCAAGTAATTTTCCCCTGAATTAACAGAACTGTTGCTGCACAGGAGTGCTCTTAAGTCATATCAAAGTTTGATTTCCTGCTTCTTGTTAATCAGAAAATAAAGAATGTGGAAATAAAATAGAATAGAAATGAAAATCGGGAAGGAGAAGAACTTCGATTTTCCATTTGGGAGGCTTCACTGATTACATGATTAAGCCACAAACCAAAAGACACTGTTAAAAGTGCTTTGTTAGTTTGTGTGGCCTTTAAAAAAGGATAATGCTTTATTTTGTTTTTAGGTAATAGTCTTCAGAAATTTGCCACTTTTCAGATTTTATGTAACCCTCTTACTCATCTTCATGCTTATGCAGCGTGCTAACTCTTCTGCACCCTTTTTGGCATCCTGAATTTTTATGGAGTCAAAGACTTTGCATTTTGCTTTCTTTCCTCATATGTTTGGAAGCCGTGATTGTGGCTTCCTTCATTTAATTACATATAAATAGATAGATGTATGTTTTGTCTTTGAAGGTGACATGTAAAAGGGAGGGTAATCTGAGTGTTCATACTTGTTTTTTTGGTTTATGAAATTATGAAGTCTTGTTCATGACTGGAAACTGAAAAATTATTACTTTTTAGATTAAGTATTTTTTCAATTTACTGTGGGAGTGCTTTTTGCTTTATGGGTGAAGGTTTGATTGCATTGTGATACAAGTCTGATGGTTAGAATATATACATTGCCTTTTCTACCTGAAAGAGGAGAAAATTTTGAGATTCTTAGTTGTTCTGTTTATTAGTTGCTGAACTTGGGAGATGGGAGAGGCCTTTCTAGGTATCTCAGTAAACGTACTGCTGGATGTCTTCTGGTAGTCAACTTGTTGCCTAATTATGGGAAGTGATGGGTTAGAGAGCTGCAATGTACTTTGATTTAGGAAATCTTATGTCACTTAACGTACTTGATTGAAATTGATGAACAGCCTATTTAAAACCCACAGTTGCTGAGAAGGTAATTGCTTTAAGGTTTTTACAGTCTTGAGTTGCATATCAGCTTATAGAAGTTTTGTTTGCTTTGTGTTTCTGATATTAAAATACATGTTTATTTTTCATGCGTTGTAACAAAGAAAATTTCTAGAATATTTACTAGTTATCAGTGTGCTTCGTAGAAAAATAAATGATGCTATATGATAATGTTCTTTGTTCAATCACTTTAGAGGTTTTTAGCTTGATAACTGTAAAAGTTTTCAGGAAAAAATAATGTTTTGTAATTATGATCTGTATTCTGAATGTTCTTTTGAGTCATTTTCTGTGAATTATTTTGACTGTACATTTACCCAATCTGATCAGAACTGGCTCAGTTTGCATTTAAAAAGTAAAGTCAAACAGTAAATACATTATACTATCTAAGTATTTGGGGAAGAAAATGTTTGACTGGCCCTCTGTAAGTTTTGTTAAGAGGTATCAGATAAAGACTTAACTATTATTTTTGTTCTGTTGCAGGGATTTCTCCAAAGTTAATATCCTGGTACCTGGTGCTGGGCTAGGTAGATTGGCGTGGGAAATAGCTATGCTCGGTTATGCGTGCCAAGGAAATGAATGGAGCCTCTTTATGCTCTTTTCTTCTAACTTTGTACTCAACAGGTACATAGCTTATGTTTTACTTGCTGACTGAAACCTAGGGAGGCAAAATTATAAATAAGAAAAGCTTGAATAAATACAACTTACAAGAGTAGATTTATAAGTCCTAACAGGGGACACACATAACTACTTTTTAGAATGTTTTAATTAAAAAAAAAAAAAAAAAAATCAGTGGTGTAAGTGGGGGAGAAAAGCATTGTATCCGAGTCATTAAAATTTAGCAGGAAGCTGGCTTTTAAGTTATGAGTCTTAAAATCTCTAAGTTGTACCACAGATTTCTGCATAATCTTGAATAGGTTTTAGGATTTATTTCACATCTGTTTCTGTAAAATGCACACCTATGTCACCAGTGTCAAATATGGACTAGACCATATGTGCATGGTACTTAGTGGTGGTGATTAGTAACAGAGCAAACCTGTTAAAGTGTTACATTCCATACTAAAATTTTAGGCACTGTTTCAATGTAAAAACAACCACCAAAGCACACTGAACCACTTCTTAAGCATGTCTTGTCACTGAATAACAGCTAAAATAATATAGTTAATAGTTCTACAATTATGGTGAAGTGCTAAATTTGAGTGTAGTAAATTTCACTTTATAGGTTTAATTTAGAATGACATTTCTGTATTTTATATTCTGTCACTTGCATTGGAAATTACTAGTTTCATAACGAACTCATGAAGGAAGAAAGAAAGCAGCAAACACAACTGTTCTTTTAAGAAAGAGGGTGGGAATGCTATGGGTGAGCAAGTATGAAAGAGGTCTGGGGAGGGGGTTTCTTTTTGGGGGTATTCAGTACCAAGTTCAGAGACACAGAATTTGCCAGTTCACTCATTCTTCAATCTGAAATGATAAACCTTTGCTGAAAACACCTAAACTATTGGCTTGTATTCTGTATTTTCATGATGTTTTGGGGCCCTGTTTGTAGACTGATTGTCCACAGTGGACTGTGATGATCTTAATTCTGTTATAGCTTACTGTTCAAAAACAACAAGGGGGAAACTGAAAGAGGGTAGGTTTAGACTAGATATAAGGAAGGAATTTTTCACAATGAGGGTGGTGAAACCCTGACACAGGTTGCCCAGAGAGGTGGTAGATGCCCCATCCCTGGAAACATTCCAGGTCAGGTAGGATGAAGCTCTGAGCAACCGGATCTAGTTGAAGATATCCATGCTCATTGCAGGAGCGAGGTTGGACTAGATGACCTTTGAAGGTCCCTTCCAACTGAAACTATTTTGTGATTCTGTAAAAACACTTTATTATGGCTACTGCACATCTGCTTAAAACAGTAGTAGTTGGTGTGATGAAAATAGGTATTTGCTAGAGGTTTATTTGTTCTTTTTTTTTACATTATTCTTAAATTACCCTCATCTGGTGGTAAAATTGCATATTACAGTTGAGCTGATCTAATACCTTGCAGCTACTGAGAAGAGGTCACATTCTTCTTGTCCTTAGCTATGCCGCCCTGCTGGCTTTTAGGCTCTTTGGAACTTTTGAAATTATTCAAAGCAGCATAGAAGTATTCATTTCCCATCTTTGGGAGCACTGATCAGCTGTCACAGTGGTTCAAATCTGAAAGTTAACTTCATTCCTAATTACCTCTGACATGTTTTTTGTCTTCCTTCAATAATGAGTCTTTGGCCTATATGTGGAATTCTCCTAAAGATCCATGCTTTGCTTATGATAGTAATTATTCTTAGCATCTGATGCTCATGTGGCGTTTCCTATTTATGTAAGATATTTAGCAAAGAGTTGCATATGCATTAGACTTGCTAACAGTATTAGATTTTAGACAGCAAAATTGAGTGTTGCTCAGCTGCTGTAATCTTGATCTTTGCTGGGAAAATTATCAGTTACAAGTTTCCTTGTAACTGGAAGAGATTACTGCTAACCTGACTCTGAATTTCAGTCAGTTCAGTTGAAGTCTAAGCTTTCCTTTATGCCAGATCTAATTGTGGGCTTGGGATGTCTATTAAGAAGGTTTTAGGGACTTTTGGGATCTTTCATTTTAGTTTTAAGTAAGAATGCATATGTATGCCTTCCTGGACCTGAAAGAAACAGCAATGATCATTATGAGCTGAAGATACCAGTTAAGGAAGAGTCTTAAGAAAGAAGGATTTGCAAATGAGTTTTTAACTACAGTCTTAATTAATTTTTGTTTTCAGTTGATGAAAGCATGAGGATTTTGCTAATGTGCTTACAGTTTGGATCTACCTTCTTTCTCTGACCTTGGTTTATTTTTAGGAAGACAAAGTACTATATTGAGTATCAAGCCAACTACTACAGTGGGCTCCTAGATGTGGTACGGTGACTAAGTCTTCTGTATAAAAAGTGGTATCTGCTGATTTTTACACATGTGAAAAAAAACAATTCTCTTAAATTGCAAAATTTTGTTACTGTGGATGAAGTTGCATAGCATGTTGTATAGAGAGCATGTCAAGGTCTAACTGTGGTCACTATAAGTATTTGAAATTAATTAGAGTGCATCATTCCATTGAAGAAGCTCCAATTTGACAATGAAGTGACCCTGGAGTACAGTGGCTCCAAGGCTGCTGTAGTTCTTGTATGAGAAATTGTGCTTTTTCTTGTATGGGTAAGGTTCTTGGTGGTGGTGCATTTTTCTAGTGTTTAGATGAGTTCTGGATATAATGGCAGATCACTGGTCATATACAGACACGCTTCTTAAATGTTTTGGAAGAGCAAAACCTGTGAAAAGCATAATCTGTCTTCCTGCCCTTGGAAAGCATACTGACATTTTCAGGCAGTCTAGAGCCACAGGGCACACATTACTTACCTTCGACATCTGTCAGGGGAGGAAACAACACTAGGGTGGTAGTTATGTGGAGGAGGGAGGAGCAGCTGATTGCTGATTTGCTGGAGATTCAGAGCACAGGGTCAGTAGCCTTGGTTGGGCAGACCTTCAGCAGCACTAGTCCCACGTATGAATATTTGAGAAACTTCAGTTGAAGTAATGTAAAATCACTTTGTACCCAAGTCAGAGTAGGGTTAGTTTAAAAAAGCCTTAATTAATACCAGTAGAATTCATGCTAATAGTGGCTACTTTTTATTTTCCAGAAAGAATGTAATTTTAGATAAATCTTGACACTTTAAGAAGTCTGCTTAATTGTGTTTATTGCATGTCCATGAATGCTTTAGGATGAAAACAGTTAAAGCATTTTATTTTTAAGTCAGTGGTCAGAAGTAAGATTTGATCTATGCATCTTTTCCAGAACCATCTTTTGGACTCAGTGTTGAACAGTAAATGCCCTGCCCCTATGGAGAAAAGTGAAGTGTGTCACACTTAGTCAAAGATGTTATATTTTTATAACATAACTTATATCATACTTCTTTTGTTGGAAGGATGGAACTGTAAAGGACTGCAGTATTTATTTTTGAAGTATAGACTACTGAAGCTGTAAGTAAAGGGAGGTTTTCAAGCTTCAATACGGAGAAGGACTTGTCTTTTATATTAAATTGGGAATTCCTCTTGGAGCTGTTCGAAAGCCTACAGGAATATGCTTCATGCTGGAAAAAAATATACTGGGATATATGGAGAATGCTAGAATGGTTAACATACAACTTTTGTTGGCCAATGTGGGGTTTTGGTTTTTTTGTTGTGGGGTTTTGGTTTGTGTGTGTTTGTTTCTTTTCTTGTCTTTTTTTAACCAAAATAGAAATGCCTTCTTGAAGAAAATGGTGCCCATGTTGTCACAGCTTTTACACTGTATTTTTTTCTTTGACTGCATGTGTCTGATAGTTGTCATATCTGATACGGAGACAATTGATGAGCCCAGTATACTGCATGTTATTTTTGTATTTTTTAACTGATAAAATGAAATATAAATATGACACAAAGAAGGTAAAAAAATGTTCTTTCAAAGACTTTACCGCAGATATTTTCTATCCACGCAGCCAAAAGAGTGCACTTTTTATAACCTGGTAGATTGCTTTGCAGTTTATCCAGTGTTTGATGGTATGTGTTTTATGGGACAGATGTATCCTCTGTTTTCTCTGAAAGAAAATGGTTTCATTTCTTATTTACAAACTGATTTTACAGGACTGTGGGGAAAAGCTGCTTTTTATACTGTAATGCTATTTTTATCACTTTTTAAAATAAGAGTTGACTTAGTTGGTCATGTCAACCCACAAATTTTACTTTACAAAGACATGTTTACTTAGCCTTATTTGCAACACTCCAGATGTTACTAACTTAAAATGTCATCTAGTGCAAAACTACTATGCTTTGCAAAATGGAATTTTATTTATTTATTGAAATCTAAAAGCATTCTTTCAGTTAACATCTGAAAAATGCTATTGTTCTGCTGTGCTTCAAAACCCCTATGATTATGGTTCAGAAGAGACAAAAAATACAGAATGAGAAAAAGTTTCCAACAAAATTCATGGAACTAATGTTACTAATTTACTTTTTTTTTAGTAGGAAAAAAATACAACCCAGAAAGGCTTAGCTTCACTAAATAGATAAATATACTAAATCACAAATTTCATTAATCTTACAAAAGAATCTTGTGCATTTTCTTTACAGTGGAGGAAGTCGGGGAAAATGGTAAAAAGTGGGAAAAGAAAATTTTAAAATTCAAAAAGGCAGTTATTTTGTGGTGATAACTTGTGAGTAAAATTGCTTGGTTTTTTAATCAGTTCATAAATGGATGGCAGTGTGAAGTGGTATGAACCAGATAGAAGTCCTTTAGAAAACGCATAGCTTTTGCAAGAACTTTATCAACAAAACAATGGATGTTGATGAAAATCTTTGACGCCTACCTACATTTCTAAATAACAGATAAGCAATTAGTTGAAACTGAATTGTGCTGATTTCCGTATTTTGCAGATGCTCTGAAATTAACTCATATAAGCTTTATCCCTGGATTCATCAGTTTAGCAATAACAGAAGATCTGCTGATCAGATACGTCCAATTTATTTCCCTGATGTTGATCCTCACAGTCTTCCTTCTGGTTCAAACTTCTCTATGACAGCAGGCGATTTTCAAGAAATATATTCTGAGTGCAGTGAGTAAATGTAAACTTCTAGGCTATCCATGTAACTGTATCTTTGGAGTATTTGCTATTTGTTAATGATTACACATATATTGTTAATGATTACACATAGAAGGGACCCATATCTACAAACATGGAGCAAAAAGTACTAACTGTACCAAGATTTTCTTACTCCAAATCATCTTTTCTTCTCTCCTTAGTTATAAAAAAAATACGGACACCTCCTTGCCTAACAGTTCTTTGTCACAGTAGTCCCTTTCAGAATAGGACAGCACAGTAGTATTATGGAAAGATCTACTTGATTTAGAAAAGTGATGTTACAAAGGGAACAATGTAATTATTCACTTCTCCGGTATACAAAAGAGAAACAGGAGGGTTTTCTGGTGGTTCATTTCCTCTTGTAAATGCAAAGCAAACTGTTTCAGTAATAGTAAATTATAAATTAAACATATATATATTTATTGATTGCCAATAGTAAATATTTCAGAGGCACATTATGGGGATGGTAGATACCAAAGATTGAGACTTCTGTCAGTGCAAATAACCTTATTTTTTCTTGTGATAACAGGTTATTTGTGCTGTCCTCATTGCAGCTATGAAGTAATGCTTTATGACTAACCTAATGGTAAATTAACCTGCAGAAGGGTAGCACTTAGCCATTTCTTTTATATGTAGTTTAATATTATTATATATGCCTATTTAGAAGTTGCTATTTTTTCCTTACACGCTATTGGATTATCACCTCAGGCATCTTTTTTCTGTTTCCACCTTTCTGTCCGTATTAGACCCACAGCAATTTTTCACCAGGATATGTAGCTGTTGATCTGCCCTTTATTGTGCAGCTAGACTTCCAGATACTTTCTTGTAGGAGCCTTCCTTATAGTTGCTTAATTTTCTGAAGCTTCTGTCTTAACATTAGAACATCTGATACTGGCATAAATTGAGACTTTTAATTTTTTTATTTACAGAACTTAAAACTTTTGCAATTTCAAGGATACATGTTTAGAGAAAAACAGGGAGACTCGTGCTTTAAAAGGTAGACTTTGGAAGATCCTGCTTGTTAAATTGACTAGTGGAAAACAGCTGGAGAAATATTCAGATGCTGCGTAAAGTGTTTTAAAGCTATGTGACTTGTGAAAATACACTTTAGTTTACAGACTTACATTTTTCTAGATAATAACTAGAAAGGCCCAAAATCACTGGGTATTTTTGCAGTTGTATTTCTAACAGTTGTGGTAATGAAGTTCAGAGGACAGGTGAGTAATAGCATACTCGGGCCTTCATTTCTCTAAGGTGTGTTATAAGATTTACATTTTACAGTATATAATATAAATATATAATTTTATATAACATGTATGAAGACTTTTTTAAAATGCATAAATAATAAGTATTGTATTTTAGAGTGTGTATGTGTATAAACACACACACATATCTTTAGCTCACACAAACTCCAACTTAACTGTTGTTAAACCAAAATATTTTATTTACTTGTAAATTAAATGAAGAGCCTTCAATTGTTGTTAGTTGAAGGTAATACTAAGTGTATAAACAAATATTGGGGTTAGATGATTAACTGTTACATGGGTAGAAACATTGAAACTAATCTATGTGTGATTTATTCTTTTTATGCAGATACATGGGACTGCATAGCAACTTGCTTTTTCATAGATACAGCGCATAACGTTATTGATTACATTGATACTATATGGAAAATACTAAAGCCTGGAGGAATATGGATAAATGTAGGCAAGTGTGACCAGCCTCTCTTCCTGCTAGCTCTGACGTGTTTGATCGTGTAACAGGCATCTTGTTAAAGAGTTGTGAAGATCAGTGTGTCTGTGCTGAAAACTCTGTGGAGCTAGAAACATCTAGGGCTTGGAAATTATTTCATATGTATTCAGAATATGTCCAGATGTTTGCTAGTTATAATCAACACCACATGATTATTTTAAACAGAGAAGTAAATCTTACCAGTGGCAAGTTTTGCATTCAAGCATCAAACATTTGTTATTTGACAAATACAGCATCCTTTACTCTTTTTTGCCATTTTTCTAAGAAAATAGAACTAGTTCTATGTGTAAATACATTCTTGCGTTTTTTTTTTTCCTTAATCTGTTGTCTAATTTGTACTGTGCTTCTAAGCAGAAGTTTTGGGAATGAGATTTATGTATGCCGTGGCTCAAAAGAAGGGAGATTTAAATCTGCCGTGGTGAAAGAATGGCAGACAAAACCCAGGAGTTGAACACTTTGTGTAGTAGAAAGTGCTGAGTCACTGGTCAGTCCGTCACTACACCAGTCCTGGAGAGTCACAGAATGCAAGCAGAGCTCCTGAGTAGACAACAGCATGGCCTGTCTTCTGTCCTACAGAGACAGCAGTGATGCTAGACTGAAGAAATTTTAAGATACAGAAAACACAATCTGGTGGGAAGTGAGACTTCAGTGTGGAATAAGCAGCTGAACTAATTTGTTTTCATTTTGTATTGATTCTGAAATTTGTTACAAAAATCATATTCAAGTGATAGAAATATGTTCTTTTGTCTGTATTTGAATGTGAGTATGGATATAAGCATTCTTTGCACTTTCAGTATGTGCTTTTCATTTTTAAAATATTTTTGTCTTTTTAATAGCTATTTCCATTGTATTTTTGTACTCTAGGTCCTCTCCTTTACCACTTTGAAAACTTGGGAAATGAACTTTCTATAGAATTAAGCTATGAG